TACACAAAGAAGCTTACTTCATTCATATAAACTTTCCTTAAACTCTAAATTTTAAGTTGAGTTGCACCACCTAACTTTAACGGTAACTAAAACGATAGCCTGTGTTTTTTGTCATGGAGTTTGACATATTTTTGACGTTTGTCAAAGTTAAAGTAAGATGGTGCAACTCAGCCTTATGCCCGTTTTCACCATCAATCCCTAATTTTTAAGTGTCCTCTATGGTAAATATATAACAGGAATTTTGTTTTCATAGGGGTCACTTACAAATTAGGGATTGATAGTGATAACGGGCATTAGTCTCTTTAATCTCAATGTATATGATGAAAATATGTCAACTATCTTTTCCAAAAATACGATGCGATTATTGAATCGAAATCTACAGTAAGTCCTACATTTAAGGGTACAGATCTAATAAACATTATCAAGGCATCAAAACTTTTATTAAATCAGAACTTACACAATTTTCGTTACTTTTATAATCTAAATGTATAAAATTTGAAAACTTTTTAATGGACGGACTAAAGTATTGTTTAGTCAACTCTTAAGCACATAAAAATAAAAACACTTATTATTAATAATTATAATAATACTGTCAGCAATAGTAACTAATTAGGTATGTATTTGTATTTACAAGTTTTTCAAAAAAGTGCATTGAAACTCATTAAACCTTTTTTTTAAATCAAGCTTTAGCAAAGCACCACTGTACGTCACAATAATATAACTTTAATTAGCTGTTGAATACAGGTATTAAAACTTAGTTATTAATATCTAAAACCACATTTTCATAGGTAAATAAAGAAAGCACCTAACATTACTTGGTATACAATACGTAATATAGGAACTTATATTATAACTAGTCGACGCGAATATAATACGACAATTTTTAATTTGAAAACGTTAAATTGTGAATTTCAGTGTAATAGTTAGATTACAATCCAAGCTGACATAAACCACTATTAGCTCACAGTCTCACGCGTTATATTATAAACTGACGGAGTTAACAATTTCACGATGACATAACCCTATAAAAGTTTTAATGGTCGTTGAGGAAGTCTTTGAGAAATGCCTTTTTTCAACAGTAGATGTCAAGGTTGAAACTTGAAATGAAGGAACGAACGAATTCCACAATTCACATTTTGGCGTTTAGCTAAGGCTGATCTTTATCAGACTACAATTTTTTTCTTCTTGAATTATATTGGCGTCGATTGTCCATGATTTTCATCTTATATTTATTTAGAATAATTAAAATTAAGTGATGTATTTGTCCTCACAGACTCCCGGCTCGGGCGGGATGGTGAGCGCGTTGGTGCCGTGCTTCCCCGTCTCAGGGTGCTCCTGGAATGTAGGGAATTATTATTTTAATGTATGGATTTACAAAAAAAGTATTTAGTATGTTCATATCCGTTGTCTTCCTACCCATAGCACAAGCTTTGCTTAGTTTGGGACTAGAAGCGTAGTGTAAAATGTCCAAGGATATTTATTTGTTATTCAATTAGCAGTTTTTCTGACTCTTCACGTATGCTTTTACTTATTATAGGGATTCGTCAAAAACCTTGTGAATGCGCTCTAGCTAAGAGGTTTCCGAGAGGTTTAGTTTTAAGCATGATTACGAAAATATTTGACCCATTACTATTTTATATTAAAAAATGTTTTTTTAAAGCAAACAATACAAGCTAAGAGCCGAAAATAAATCATATTTGTCGATTAGTTTTACGTAAGTTACATAAATATCTCATTTATAAACACTTGTAAAATCAGGAATCATTCCGAATTAGTTCTCTAGTTCAAAATTTTATTTTTATTTTTTTATAGGTAAACTAGTTGTGCCCGCACCTTAGTACGCGTGAAAACCCGTTTTCGCAACATTTTTTATTGTCACTCTGCTCCTATTCATCGTAGCTTGATGTTGTATAAGCCTATAGCCTTCCTCGATAAATGGGCTATCTAACACTGAAATAATTTTTCAAATCGTACCAGTAGTTCCGGAGATTAGCGCGTTCAAGTAAACAAACAAATAAACTCTTCAGCTTTATAATGTTAGTATAGATTATTGTACAAACATACCCGATCAGAATCCAGCCTCTCCATTTCATGTAAAGACTTCATCATCCTTTGCGACCGTTTTTGCGCCGATGCTGCCCTCTGTTGTAGAATCTGGAACGTTAAAAACACATATCATTTGTTTGTAAAAAATTGATGCCCACCGTCAATCAGTTCGGTAAACATAAAGATTTCCAATTTTCCCTCATTCTGAGTTGTAATTGGTTTTATTGTCCATTTAATTAATACTGGGTGTGAAGGGGCTAATCCAATTAATTTGTAGGTATGCGATTGATGAAAAGCCGATGTGAAATGAAATTATAATTTTTAAGCCTTGAAGGTAGAGATCACTGGAAAATTGAAGCTAAGTTTTTTACTTGACGCTAAATAACGCTTAAATTGGCATTTCAAGATAAAAATGACATTGTGATCGGATATTATGTTATTATTAGGGATATTTGAGACGACAAAGCCCAACGGACGGAGGCCTGAAAAGAACGTAGTGTACGACCATAAGGCCAACATTTTTCGGTTCGGTTTAGTTTGTTATCATTCTATTTTTAGTACCAAATAAATATTTTTTCTTTCCACCATCATCTTACATAGCTGCCACCATCTTACATCAATTGAAATATCAACAATGTTAAGAGCATTGTTGTGTTTCAGCAGTTGGAGGTAAGATAGCCAAGGCAGTTCATCTTTGGTTGAGTATTCCGGGTGAAACTCGCTTCTACCTTCGGCCTGATCATCACTTTCCATCAGGTGGGTATTCTCCGCATTCGGTCCTCCGTGATTCGGTCTCCCGTGCATTCGGGATAACGATATTCAGAATAGCGTTCTTTAGGGATAGAGTGAATCGGGACTCTGATTTTCGGGATTAAGAATCACAGTCGAGACGCAGGCCAAGTGCTTAAAGCAGTGGTTCTTAACCTTTAAGTCATGAGGGACCATTTTACCAAATTTCTGTCTTGTCAGGGACCACCTCATAATCATAACACTGCACAACAAAATTGCAACTTTTGNTGTTTATGAAGCTGATGTATATCTTGCAAGTCTCAATACATGAGCCAAATTTGAAGTGTTAATGCACAGTAGTTTTTGAATGATGAGGAGTCAAAAGTGGCTACAATTGGTTCCCCGCCGGCTCAAGGGCTAAGGGCGGGGACTTTTGCTATGTTCACCTCCTAACTAGGCTAAATAAAGTCCCGAGGTCAGAAATTGTGTTCCACGGATTTCTCTCTACACCGTCGTTAAGGCATTCATTAACTGGACTAATGCCATGGTGCCATGAATTTAGAATTCTATTTCGCAAATCGTTTGTGTCAACCAATCAAAAGTCTCAATGAAATTGAATGTAGTTATTAAAAATTAATAAGAGTCGCCACTCGATCTAAATATTTTTAAAATAACTTGAAAAAATCGAACTGTCTAAAGTGGGCATCGAACCTATGACCTTTCGCTTGCCGGGCGACTGATCTTCCATCTGAGCTACTTAGATATTGGATTGGGTTCGATTCCCACCTTAGGCAGTTCGATAAATAAGCACCTTCATCATTGTACACCGCATGTATATGACGTTTTTACGAAACTATACCTTTATATTTGATTTGATTTGATTATTCTCATTCATCAGTACCCCCTAGGGCGGCTATAATATAGGGGGCGCTGTTTAATTTTTCATACAAAATTTTTCGATGACACTTTGAATACGCAAACGAAACGAACTCGAAAGTTTTTCGTACTAGAGGTACAGCCATCTTTTATATCCTTTATCATAATAAACGAGCACTCACTCTAACCATGTCTGAAGGCAGATTAGGACGAAAATAAATATAACATAAACTGAAAAATGTAAAAGCCAGACATGCGGCCCTCCCCTAGGAAATAAGAGAAAACGGGGAAAATTGTTTTCCAAAGATAAGGCCGATTTAAAATTCATCCCTCAGCAACTTCCAAGACTTTATGCCAAGTAGGTTTTATTACTAGGAAATGATTGCTTCATTTGTGTTATCAGTTGGTGGATAATGTGATCGAATCGATTTTTGTTCGATTGTTTCAATGCAATGTCTCAACTTGTTAGTTTTTATCATCTATTAGTCATTGTATATTATAAACACTGCTATACTACCTATACCTACAAACTTTACAGGTAAAATTACACAAATAAGCTTACTTAATTTCTGTAAACTCTAAATTTTAGGCTGAGTTGCACCACCAACTTTAACGGTAACTTTAACGACAGCCTGTGCTTTTTTTATGTTGTTAAATGAAGATGGTGCAACTCACCCTTAGTCTCCATAATCTCAATGTTGTTCCAAAATATGATGAAAATATGTAATAAACATTTTCAAGGCATCAAAACGTTTATTAAATCAAAACTTACACAATTTTCGTTATTTTTATAATCTAAATGTATAAAATTTGAAAACTTTTTAATGGACGGACTAAAGTATCGTTTAGTCAACACTTAAGCACATAAAAATAAAAACACTTATTATTAATAATAATAAAATACAACTATTGGATATGGATGGATGTATTTACAATTTTTCAAAAAAGTGCACTGAATTTGAAACTCATTAAACCTTTTTTTAAATCAAGCTTTTGCAAAGCACCACTGACGTCACAATAATATAACTTCAACTAGCTTTTGAATGTTAAAACTTATTTGTATATCTAAGACTACATTTTCATAATTAAAGAAAGCACCTAACAATACTTGGTATACAATACATGATATAGGAACTTATAACTAGTCGACGCGAATATAATTCGACAGTACTTCATTTCAAGACGTTTATTGTGAATTTAATAATAAATCTTTGTTAACTTTCACCCTAAAATTGAAAATTTCGACATATTATAATGTGACGTAGTTAGATTACAATCCAAACCTACTGTAAGGCTGAGTTGCACCACCTAACTTTGACCGTAACTTTGACGATAACCGGTGTTTTTTGTATGGAGTTTGAAAGAGTTTTGACGTTTGTCGAAGATAAAGTAAGATGGTGCAATCCAGCCTAAGTTTACAATCACACGCGTTATATTATAAACTGACGGAGTTAACAATTTCACCATGACATAACCCTATAAAAGTTCCAACAGTCGTTGAGGAAATCTTTGATAAATGCTTTTTTCAACAGTAGATATCGAGGTTGAAATGAAGGAACGAACGAATTCCACAATAATTCCACAATACACATTTTGGCGTTTAGCTAAGGCTGATCTTTATCAGACTACAATTTTTTCTTCTTGAATTATATTGGCGTCGATTGTCCATGATTTTCATCTTATATTTATTTAAAATAATTAAAAATTAAGTGATGTATTTGTCCTCGCAGACTCCAGGTTCGGGCGGGATGGTGAGCGCGTTGGTGCCGTGCTTCCCCGTCTCAGGGTGCTCCTGGAATGTAGGGAATTATTATTTTAATTACTAATTATAATCACCCACAAGGTGGACCGACGACATCATAAAGGTAGCAGGAAAGCGCTGGCGCAGGCCGCTACCAACCGGGCAACATGGAAAGCATTAGGGGAGGCCTATGTTCAGCAGTGGACGTCCTATGGCTGAGATGATGATAATAATTATTATTTTAATTAGCAGTTTTTCTGACTCTTCACGTATGCTTTTACTTATTATAGGGATTCGTTAAAAATCTTGTGAATGCGCTCTAGCTAAGAGGTTTCCGAGAGGTTTAGTTTAAGCATGATTAGGAAAATATTTGTCCCATTACTATTTTATATTTTTTTAAAGCAAACAATACAAGCTAAGAGCCGAAAATAAATCATATTTGTCGATTAGTTTTTCGTAAGTTACATAAATAATATCTCATTCATAAACACTTGTAAAATCAGGAATTATTCCGAAAGCTTTTCATTTTGTGGACATTTTCCAACAGCTGAACGAATTTTTCTCGGGAGCGGGGCACCTCTAGTTCAACATATTTAGGTAAAATAGCTTTTGCCCGCGGCTTCCCCCGCGTGAAATTTAGTTTGTCACAGATCGTCATAAATTATAGCCTATATGTTATTCTGAGTTATAAAAAAGTTTTTGCGTGAAAGAGTAACAAACATCCATCCAGACATCCAAACTTTCGCATTTATAATATTAGTAGGATATTACTCGTAGTAGGATTGTTGTAAACATACCCGATCAGAATCCAGCCTCTCCATTTCATGTAACGACTTCATCATCCTCTGCGACCGTTTTTGCGCCGATGCTGCCCTCTGTTGCAGAATCTGGAACGTCAAAAAACACATATCACCGTCAAATGAGGGTTTTCGTCCTCGGACCTCGCGTCTACGTATTGCCATCTGACGGATTTTTCAATCGCGAAAACCCTCATTGTTTATGATTTATGCCCCCCGTCACTCAGTTCGGTAAACATAAAGATTTCCAATTTTCCCTCATTCTGAGTTGTAATTGGTTTTATTGTTAATTTAATTAATTAATATAGGGTGTGAAGGTGCGAATCCAATCAATTTGTAGTATGCGATTGATGGAAAGTCGATGTGAAATGAAATTAGCATTTTTGAACCTTGTAGGTAGAGGTCACTGGAAAATTGAAGCTAAATTTTTACTTGACGCTAAATAACGCTTAAATTGGCATTTCAAGATAAAAATGACATTGTGATCGGACATTAATTAAGTTATTATTAGGGATATTTGAGACGACAAAGCCCAACGGACGGAGACCTGAAAAGAACGTAGTGTACGACCATAAGGCCAACATTTTTCGGTTCGGTTTAGTTTGTTATCATTCTATTTTTAGTACCAAATAAATATTTTTTCTTTCCACCATCATCTTACATAGTTGCCACCATCTTACATAACAATTGAAATAACAACAATGTTAATATCATTGTTGTGTTCCAGCAATTGGAGGTAAGATAGCCAAGGCAGTTCATCTTTGGTTGAGTATTCCGGGTGAAACTCGCTTCTACTTCTGCCTAATCATCACTTTCCATCAGGTGGGTATTCCCCGCATTCGGTCTTCCGTGCATTCGGCCCATCGAAATTCGGAATAGCGTTCTTTCGGGATAAAGTAAATCGGGATTCGGATTTTCGAGATTAAGAATCTCAGTTAAGATGCAGGCAAGTGCTTAAAGATATTAAAAGATCACTAACCGACAGTCTCCTTTGCTCCGCCTCAGCCAGCTTCTCCTCAATATCTGGCAGGCTGATCTCCGGCTGAGGGGGCTGTAACAGCCTCTGAAGGTGGGGAGGAGGGGTGGACTCCTTGCGGGTAGCATCGAACTCGTCCAGGGGGATCTCGAAGGCCACCGCTGGAAAAAGATTTCCTGTGTAATGGTAATTGGTGTTAGCAAAAGCGAAGCTAAGCGTTCTATTTACTTGAATAGTTCATGTGAAAGCACACGATTCGTTGCGGCGGCGGTGCGATACCGGAGCGGTGTCGCTGCGTCTTCTTATTTAAAAAGGTCTGTGACGGGTACACGCGGTGCGAACGTAATACGGCGAAATCTTTGTGGTGACAGTTGACACGCCGCAACGCATCGTGTACTTTGGCTCTAACGTCGCTATGTCGTTGCGAATGCGAGTAAAGCGCACCAAAGCCAACAATTAATAATCTAAAGAGAGATATGTAAGCTTTTTTTAACACTATCATCATCAATATTTATCATCATCAGGTCGTTAAGTCCCCACTGCAGGAGAACGACTCTCTCTTATTTACTAAAGGTAAATGAAGGATTTGGTCTACACTCTCCACACTAGATATTCGGATTTTTTTCTACAAAGGCAGTATTTGAGGACGACAGAAGGTAGAGTTGGTTGACCAAGTTAGGGTTTATACATGTATAACCATTACATCGAAAGCTAAAGCTGTACCTAGCTGTACTAAAATACTGAGATAAACTACTTACGAGGTTTAGGCTTTATAGGGGTCTCTGGCAGGACCACAGTGGGCAAGCTGTCATGGTCATTGTCATGGTGACCATTTAACCCTTTCACTCCATTGGTAACCTTGCTATGACCGTTGCTTGCGTCCTCTTGGACTGGCACCACGTTGCCTGAAGAGCCGCAACCCATTTTGTGTCTTGTTATAAAGGGGTGAAGATCATTTCAGTCTGTCTGATCTGAAAGAATGAACATGAGTGTGAAATATTTGGTGTTATTGTGGTCTGATTTGGGCCAAATTGAGATTTGGGCTTTTTTGGTTCAAATTGTCAGTACCATTTAAGGCAGCATTTTAATGGGATTATTCCCATTTCCCGCTCTTGCCAACTCCCGCTTGTGTGCCATTAACACTCAATCAACGTGATCAAATATTTCCAGAGATATTTATATCTCTCTGTAATTTTACAGTAAGGAATTTAATTTAAATAATATCAAAAATACATTCGTAATACACATTAATTGAACATGTATGTACATTTTAATTAATTGGTTTTATTTACAGAATCAAAGGCTGCAAATATCAATTTTGGCGACCGAAAATATTATTTTCATGTTGATTTTTATGACGAACTGATTCCACATGTTCGTTAATTGGTATTCTAAACCGTGAAATGGCAATTAAAATGGAAGCTCATTAAATAAATAGGCTTTCAGTGTTCACGATAAAGCAGCCAACTTTAATGGTCACGTGGAATGTCGTTTTTCATCCTGAAAATTAAGTTAAAACATTATCAGCACGACTATTCCAAACCAATAGTTTCCATTAATAAAGTTAAATTGATCAGCTAAATACATAAAAAAACATAACCCTCCTTCTGGCGCAGTCGTGTAAAAACATACGTCATGTAGCATGTAGTAAAACTACATCATTTCACTAAATTCAAATTCAAATTCAAACATTTATTGCATAGAATAGGTATTTTACATTTCATCGAATGACGTCCACTGCTGGACAAAGGCCTCCCCCAAGGATTTGGTCCGGTCCTGTGGCGCCCGCATGTGCCCGCATACAGACACCTCCCGCGACTTCACCAGATCGTCGGTCCACCTACTGGGAGGCCTGCCCATTTGCCTCGTGGTCGCTACTCGATAACTTTCACCAAACCTACTATAAAAGACAATTATCTAGTTGTGATACTTTTTAATTAATTAACTGGTGTTAACATTGCCATTTTTGTTACAGTAGACCCCTATAATGATAGTACGAAAGTTATGAGTCACTCTTACTACAAAAGCAATTAACCAAATACGTGTTTTGTTGTGATACAGTTCAACGTATGGAAATGTCAACGTAATTATTTTACTGTGAAGGTGTGGGTTCACGCGGGTAATCGATTGTAGCTCGTGTATCATGCTTCAAAGGTTTGTCATCATACTATGTGGAAAATGGAATCACCTGATTTGAGTTTCATCGAAATTGCGCCGTCCCACAAAGTAAATATTACAAAGGTTCATTTCAATTCCTGGTATAGTTTCAGATAGCCTTGTTTTTTGTTAGATAAACTACAAAAAGTAATCACGAGTGCAGTAACCATAACCTTTTGGAAGTGCCACAATCTTTCAGGAATCGGTAGTATGTTAGGTATTTCGAAATAATTAAGTAAGTAAGTATTTCACGGGCTGGAAGACGTAGCGTGGGCAGGCCTCCTACAAGGTGGACTGACGATCTGGTAAGGTCGCGGGAAGAGCCTGGATGCGGGCAGCGCAGGACCGTTAATTGTGGAAAACCTTGGGGGAGGCCTTTGTCCAGCAGTGGACGTCATTCGGCTGAAACGAACGAACGAAGTAACTCATTTAAAATTAAATCCACTTTCTCTTAGTAGCAGAAGAACAAAAAAAATAGATTTTCGTCCGTTGATTTTTGGTGAAAAATAACACCTAAGTAGGTAATTAGGTCCAACTACAAAAGATTCCATTGCTGTTTACTGTGGTATAAATACCGTCAACTATCCTCTATATTCTTTCAATTTAAGTAAGTGTCCAGCACCATTCACTCTACATAATGTAGTATCGACCTTATTTTGAAAGAAGCTCATTTATTATTGATTTATTCACTGATAATGTATTCCCATACAAAACCTAATAGGTCATACGTCAAACGCCTATCAATATCAGCTTTCAACGTGTAGAACGGTCTTGATATCTACTCATTATTTGGTGTTTTCTAATAAAAGTATGCCTAAGTTAATATTAAGTTCTTTACAACAAATAGTAGCATAAAGTCTTATTCCAAGAAGCTACATTCTTGTACCGAATTGAGAACCTCCTCTTTTTGTTGAGCTGGTTAAAAATTCATCATTAATTTGTTTACCGGCTTAGGCGTGGAAACAACAACAAACAATTACCTGCTAATTTGATTTTGATTTTTGATAATCATATTGGGAGAGTGTGGTGTTTCTTTTGGCTCTTTCGTGTAATTTGACAACTTTGACAGACATTTAAACATGGCGCGCTCTACGCCTGTCAAATTAAAATGATTCCGCGTCCACGCCACGCAAGCTTCCAAGCGAGAGATGCTCACAAAACCCAAGTATATGAAAAGAAAAACCTGAAAGCGCCCAATCCATTACAGAAAAGTAATCAAATTAATAGCTCTTAGGTTTTCCATCATGGCCTTATTAGAGCAGACATTTACATTCGGGACGTGAGGTGCGAAGGCTTTATGCCATGAAAAAATGGAGAGATCGATGGGGGAAAGCAACTAAGATTGCGGTATGCTTATGGATGGATGACCACATGAATGTAGTCGGTTACCTACCAGACGACTATCAATGGAGTAAACCGCTTAAAAACTAATTGAAATCGATTAAAAACTATTTTCTTCCAAACTAACATACGATTTCCAAAACAATAAGTAACTACTTTATTGCATGCACCAAGGATTATTAAATTACGTATAAAACACGAAATTCTCACGCCACTTTAATGTTCCTCGGTTAAAATTCGCATAATTTCAAAGAACTACAATCCCGTTGAAAATTTTAAAAGATAATCCCGTTAAAATATTTTAAAACAGAATCGCCGTTGGTCGGGGCGATATTTTTTATCTGACTCGCCAATAAAGGGGTAGTTCAGTGGATCCACTATGAAATACTTTTAATTATATCATAGTTTTACCCACTAAGTACCTAGTAGATGTGGCCACTAGTGATTAAGATCCGTTAGTTGTTGGTGGTACCAACTGTCAAGCACTAAAATTATAAAAATTTTGGCATTGGGGTTTCAAAAAGCGCTTTTACATGTCCCATTTAAACCTTACTGCTGCTTCAGGATAATCATCCTCTTTGTCAAAGGTTAGATACAGTAATGACTCTACAGAGTGTTGGTACAAATCAATTCATTGCAATCTTAAAACAATATGCATAATCAATAATTAACTTTAAAAAAAAACCGACTTCTAATGCGTGAACACAATAAAAAACTAAAAATTAAAAAAAAGTTCTACCCTTGGGGGTGAAATATTTTCTTCAAATTCGCATGAAACCACCCTTTTGATAATACCCATTCAACAAAAAAATAATCGTTCAAATTGGTTCATAATCGGCGGAGATATTGCGTGTAAAAAAGTTCATCCCTAATTTTCCACCCTTGGGGGTTGTTTTTTCTATTATTAAATTTAAATGGGACCACCCTTGAGGTATTACCTATACGCCGAAAAAAGATTTGTTCAAATCGGTTCATAATTGGCGGAGTTATCGCGTAACAAACATAGAAAAAAAACATACGGGTCGAATTGAGAACCTCCTCCTTTTTTGAAGTCGGTTGAAAACTACCTATTGATTACGTGGTTTAGAGCACTACCTATCTTGGTTTAATTAGATTTAATATTGGCTACACCATATTCCTCATTTAAAACCTGGTATTCCACGAAGTTAGCAAGAAAGAAGCCATTATACCGACGCTTTTGCAGTTTTACTAAGAAATTCTTATTGAATAGAGCACCCTACTGTTCCAGCTATTGTCTACTGTGCCTTGTGGCTAATCAGGAAATTATAACAGCCCGTAGCTTTTCCAACAATTTACAATGGCGGTCGGGAGCAAAGGCTGTAACTCAACGTAAATAACGCTATCTATTAGGGCAATGAAGAGCTCTACTTTAAGTACGGTGTAAACCATACATCTTGTTGTATTTTTAAACACTACTTATCTTATGACTCTCTAAGTTTAAAAACTTGCCTTTATTTTAGCCATAAATGTCGCCGAAATTAATGTTAGAAGATGACACGTTATTCTAAACATCGTAAGATTGTAACATCATAAGTACTATTTTGTAGTACAAATGAATCACAAAATTAAATGTATCTAATATGCTGACGATTGTCTATGCAACCAACAATAAGTCGTCATTCGTAAAAGAAAAGATTCGAATAAACATACCTACCTACAACTTAAAAAAAAAAATACACAGAACTGGCAATGCGCAAGCCATAAAAAAAAGTATAATAAAAAAACATGACGCGGGAACGCGGGAAACCTTTCATACACAGATTAAAAAACTTATTTCTTTTTAAAGGGCTAGCAAAGGCAATGGAATCAGTCCGAAGCTATAAGGAAATATCGCGGCAATTTATCACATTTCCCGCCTTTTTCTCGGCGGAGATATTTCCACGTTGATTGCATTAGCCATCTTGGAGTAAATTCTTTTAATTCTTTCAACACTTATTCGAAACATAGCTAAGTTTTAGATATATTTTAATGAATCTAGGCTCATAAAATAGAAAGAAAGAAAGATACATTTATTACAATGGACATCACACAAATATAGGTAATTACATAGACATGACAGTACATATAATATAATAAAGGAAGAAAAAATAAAGATGCCCACTGCAACGGGACCCCACGCAGCATATGCCGTGCCCGTGACCCACGGTGACGAAGGACACGGCGCTGGTTTTCAGTGTGCTCCAGGCCGAGTGAGGGGCACCATTTGTAAAATAAATAATAATAAGCTGCATAAAAATAAGCGTTGATGTAAAAAAAAATATACTAATTTGGTGTCCCTTACCTGCCTAGTAAATTCCTATTCACTCTTGACTGGGCTCGGAAAAGTTAACAGCAGGTAGCATTCTAGTCTATATTACATATAATTAAAGGAATAGATTCCAATGTGCAACCACAATGCTTACAATACATCAACTATTTCGCTGTCAATTTGTAAGAGCATGTCACCTGGACTGGACTAGCATTATAGCAAAGTAAACACAAACTGGAGGACATTCAAAATAACATGCAATTATAAGAACTGCTTAATCGATTATCAGGATGTGTAGCAGTAGGTTCATCACCAACTGAACTCAACTCATTTTATTTCTTAAGTAGGCTTTTTACAAGCATTTTTACACGTCCCAGTATTAACCATTCCCTACCACTGTTTCGGAACTATAAGAATGAACTGGGTTAACTTTCTTGCACTTCTATCAATTATTTGTTTTTAGGGGCTTCTAAATAAAATATTTTATGCAACATGTTGCAACACAGTGCCCAACAACATTACAACTATTGCAGATCAATTGCACCATAATATGGTGCAGCTATAGAATTAAGGCCATAAGGTGTAATAAATTACTTTACATTGTAATGCCCATTTATTGTCCTGAGGCAGTGGTAGGATGAAAGTACTACTGGGACGTGTGAAAGAGCTTTTTAGAAGCCTACTCGCAAAATAAATGAGTTTGGATTTGAGTTCTTTAAATGGGTCCGTGGCCGAGTCCCCCTGTGTTCGACGCACCCGTGGTCGACGCCCCCGGTCAGGTAGAAGCAATTTTTAATCAAATGACTGACTGACTCACAAAAATAAAAGTTTTAAAATTAAAACTTTTATTTGTAGTTAGTTAAATGTAGAGAAAGTAAGTTATTTTAAAGACTGATTGTTACAATTATTTTGATTAAGTAAAACGATTTACATGTTATTATAGGTAAATAAAATCTATGATAAAATATGATAGGTTAAAACATTTTTAAGTATCACTATGGTAAAATAATATTAAACATTTATTTGTACGATCAGTATAAATATTTATTAAAACTTTCATAATTTTATGAAAGTTTTAAGTATTTTTAACAAAAAATTAAATACATCATTTTAAATAGCGTCAAACATGCATGGTTTTCGTTGACTGTACTTAGTGCAAAAGCCGAAAAAAATATGATATTAAATTTATTTAAATCGGGGGCTTCAACCACGGGTGCGTCGGATACTGGGGGACTCGGCCACGGACCCCTTTAAATTGCAGATATTGCAATAAAACCTTTTCCTTAGTAGTTCTATAGTAGCTGCTTTTAGTAATGTTTGGTTTACGAATAATCACCCTGCTCCATGATAGTGATAGCTCTTTACTGGGTCACACTAACGCCCGTGATTCACGATGCTTGCTTAAGTGAAGCAGCAAATTGAACGCACAGCGTTAAATAGAGCTCTGTGATTGGATTGTGTGTCATCCTGTGCATCCACGCGCACTGTGAGACCTCATAGTAATGTTTGTGAATACTGTTCTTGTACTACTGACTCCGTATTGTCTTAGCCCATAGCAGGACACCTGCACTCGCATGGGAAATAGCACGTGCTTCACAGTTCATGGCCACTTAGTATCAATGCCTAAGGTATAATGATTATAATGCATTTATAATCATGGGTATTTAGATCCAGACGTTCTCGATCACAGGGACGTGGATATACCATGTGATACTAGGTTTAACCTGTGGCTTCGTCCGCGTGAATTTCTTTTTATCACAGAGAGATTATCGCGTTTATACCCCTTTCAAAAAGTGGAATAAAACATATCCGTTGTTTTTTCCGTTTCTAACTACATCTGTACAAAACTGTACCTACCTATCTAGAAGTCGGTTCAGCATGAAAAGGTAACAGAAGGTTAGAGTTACTTTCATATTTATAATATAATGGAAGTATGGACATCTCAAGCTGTAGGTAAATCCTGGGTAGAAAAGAGTTACAGTACAGTAGAATAAGAAATGGGAACCCCTAATACAGAACTTGGCTTTATTTTATTTATTTGGTGCACAAAACAGAGGTAGATACCATAACATAACAGTCAGAGAACAAAGTAATGCTATAAGGCTGAGTTGCACCACCTAACTTTGACCGTAACTATAATGAACCGGCGGTTTTTGTATAGAATTTTACAGATTTTTGAAGTTTGTTAAAGTTAAAGTAAGATGGTGCACCCAGCCAAAGACTAGTTGTTTTTCTGCACACAACATACAAAATTATGTATTATCGACTGCTGAAAGAATGTGTTTTCTCGTACAACCTAAACAGTTGATCAATGTAACCTAGGCAAACTAGCCTACCTTTTAGAACTAACAACAGCTTTGAGGTTACTGAACCCATTATTTTATCAAGCCCTCATACATCGATCCATAACGTATCAATGCCCAACTAAAAAACGTATCTTCGAATAATAACGTACCTTATGGTTTACTGCTATTAAAAAGACACTAGCCTATTTTTAAAACCACTTAAATTCACATCAATACAAAATCTATAAATAAAACTATCTAGTCACTTTACTTATCACAGTTTTCACTTAAAAACTCAATCCTTTTTGCTAATTTGGGTCACAAATTCCCCTTTACTAGGTCAAAAGGTTTTTCAATTCACGCGTAAAAAATGGCGTCAGCAAGGAATCGAACGGGGCACCCGTGCTGCCTCGGCCGCATCGTCAACACTACTATACGATTAATACAAATTTTATTTTACCCGACCAACTACTCTTTTAGTGTGATAGTGGTTGAATACCCCGACTTTGATGGATTGATACTTTGCGTTTTATTTCTTTGATGTATCGCTAGCATAATGATATCAGTTTAACCTACATGTTAGCAAAAATATCATCTATTTCAAATAATTAAGATGCAACAGCGCTCAGCTTGAAGTGCAGTATTTCTGAAAATGGCTTATCGGGATTTGGTACTATTTGAATTGTGGTTCGTGTACCGGATTACGTCAGTTGCGGTTGCGGCTTCGAATACTGCTGGGGGCAATAGTGTGACGAACACGGCTCATATTCATTTAAAAATAGGCATTCATATCTTCATTACACACACATTCATAATGTGTGAAGCTGGTTATGGTTTGGTTCGTTCGTTGCAGCCAAATGACGTCCACTGCTGGACAAAGGCCTCCCTCAAGGTTTTCCACAATGAACGGTCCTGCGCTGCACGAATCCAGGCTCTTCCCGCGACCTTTACCAGATCGTCAGTCCACCTAGTAGGAGGCCTGCCCACGTATGGTTTAGTACTTCATAGTTAATTGGGAAAACAAAATATTAGTGTCATTTTAGTATTTTATGGTTAGTTTTCCCAGTTTTGTAATAGGTACAAGATTATTCATATTAAAATCTAAATCAGCGCGAATAGTGGCGATGACAGATGAATATAATTTTTTCGTAATTATCTTTCTACCATAGTCAAAAATTTGCTTTATGCCTCGACATTAGAATGTATGGAAAATGTTGTTCAAGTATCAAACATCATTATCGCGGTATGTTTAGGACTCTAACAATGCTTACATAGAAATTACAAGCAGCCACTATAAGCTTCCAGCCAGACCCTTGCCACTACCATCAATCACAAGGAAAACTTACGAGTCGATTTTTTTATTTTTTTTATTGTTTTTTTTTTCATCATTTTGGGAAAATAACATGATAAAAAGAAAATGAAACAAGATTTTGTGCCTCAAAGATACTACGTCAAAAACACAGTTGGAAGATTTTGCTCGTAGTTTTCTGATAGGCACATATGATTCGTATCGTAGCATTTTCTCTAAGACTGAGTTACACCACCTAACTTTGACCGTAACTATTACAGTAACAATCACTTACCATCAGATGATCCGTCTGCTCGTTTGCCTCCTGTCATATAAAAAAAAAACCAATGCTTTTTGTATGGAGTTTGACAGATTTTTGACGTTTGTCAAAGTTAAAGTAAGATGGTGCAACCCAGCCTAAGTCTTGTAAGTAACTCATTTTTAGGATAATGATTCTTTAGATAAATCAATCGTGTTGATCCTTTAGTTAGTCAACAGTTAGTCAACATTAATTTCTTATGTTAGTACGGACGGTGCCATATCAAGCTGATTCCGGTGGCATCTTGTGTATTTGTGAACATAAAGGTACGTGTCTACCTATACACCGCATCATGTGTTTATATAATAATATCTCTTTAGTTCAAGCTCTATTTTACTAATGTATTATAAAGTATCTTAAGAAACAACATCATATCTTTATGTAAACATAGAGCCTCAAAAACCCAAAAATGAACACGGACCACATTACCATAATATGGTCATAAAAAAGTAAAAAAGGCGACTCCATTGCAAAGAGGCTCAGCGCTTGTTCCACAATCAGCGATGGACACCTACCACTGATTGCCGCTCCATTATGCATGGCCCCCACCCCCCACCCCCGCAAATTATGCCATGACCACCATAGCTGGAACTCTATGGTGGTTTCAGAAACACCCTCGGTGTTAGACCGTACACATTGACGCATCTAATGGTAGCCATTTTTTTCTCAAAATAAGCGACAACCTGTGTCTGCGTTATGCTTGGTCCTTATGGTAGGTTAGGCTGTTACGGAGTTTTGGGCTGACACTGTGTAGGTTTGTTGTCGACACGAAAAGAAGAAGATGGTAGGTTCTTTGTTAACTTGATTTTTCCATATTTATCACTGAAATATTAAAGATTTAAAATATTTTTTTTTGCCAAGACAAATTCAGTCTGTAGAGTTAGAAGCAGCTCTAAATTATGCAACTAAACTAAATTAACTTAAATCTAGTCTTGAAACAATTTATTTTTAATCAAGAAAAAATATCTTTAAGTAATATTTATTACCGATAGCTGGATACCCGGATAGATACCCGGCGAACTCTGTTCCGCCTTAAAGGCAGTAAATAAGCAAATTTTGACCGTTTAGACCTACCCTGGACTACAACAAACATTTTAAAACCAAAATCAGCTCAATCGGCCCAGCCGTTCTCGAGTTTTAATCAGACTAACGAACAGCAATTCATTTTTATTTATAGAAGATTATTTATAAATGTAAAATCAGAAACATTTTGACTTATACCTACGAATACTTACTATAAACGCAGTCGGGTAAATACATTAAAAAACAAGCTTCATTATTTATGACTCTACCCATTCTGTTTACTATGTTCATGTGTTGATCGCTTTAATCGTCTAGCTAGTGTGTACCCACCTCAACAACCCCAGAGTTCAACGTATGCTGGCCATCGGCATGCATGTAGATAATTCCCAATCGATTCCAATAATTACATGCTATAGT